AAGTTTTTTGTTGTTGTACATTACATTGTATACTAATCGAAATGGCCTTTGCTCTTGAGTAGAAACTAAATGTAATCTATATATTTACATTCTGGGTATTATTTTTTTCATTAGTTTTGTAATGTTATGACATTGTTATTTTAAATTATCGAGTAAATGTAGTTCAAGTCCAGTCCACGTAAATTATAACGAATAGGCTTATTTTTCCTCTAACATTTGTACAAGCTCGGACGCTTGTACACTGCCGTAAACTATTGTAGGCCTATGTTACAAATAACGGTAACTAACGTAAAACAAATCAACTTACTTGGGCAAAGTAACTTGATTAGCGCGATAGCAAACACAGAACCAAATACTTCACGGAAACGCACTGACTGATTCAACACGCTACCACGAAAAAACTTTACACTCTCTCTCTTAACTATATCATTGACTACCTTTCAATATACCCTACTCTTGAAACTTTCTACACATTTCACAGCTAGCTCGTATTTATAATCTAGCTTCTAAGATGCTAGAGTTTTTAGAACTTTCTAGTTGATTTGAAAGTTATCATTAAGATTCGCAACTCCCACTAGCCAACATTCAAATTACAACATTAAAAATATAACTTACAACAATAATACCCTTTATCTAAAAGGTCTCGAGTCCGTTTTACTTCACAAAACAGGAACCTAAGTTAATTTAGATATGTGAGTAATGTTATGGCATTTCGTCGAATTCATTATTAGATATTATACAGCAGACCAAATGCTTAATGATTATATATTATTAAAAACCATTAATGTTTAGGGGGTTTTATGGACCTCATTTTAATATTCGCGGAAAATAAGACCGATACAAAGCGAGCAAGATGGATTTAATGGTATTATTTTCTAAGCAAAATAAATTTAATTAAGAAAATACGTGCGCGAAGTTGCCAAGATTAACAGAAATAGTGTTTGTTTATTGAACCTTAATGCTCTTAAGTTGATGAATTTGCTTTCTACCATTTTAATTTTCTATACAAGGTATGTCATGCCGGTCCTGTAGGTTTTCTCGTGCTCTTATCGAGTAAACAGTTAAAGTAGTTAAAACGCACGTGCATTTCTGAAAGAAATTACAAACAATGGGGCTACGCCTTAATATAACCTCTGTCGTTGTACGAAAGGGTACAGTGTAGAAGCCTTTTCTTTCAATCCTATCAACAAATGTACGTTACTTAATAACATCAGAAGCCACGAGTGACATAAAAAAATTTATTTTACGTTCTTTTAGTTTGTAATCTCTTCTTAGACATTTTCAGCAGCCAGTGTGAGTTATAAAATATTAATAATTATATTAAATATTTAATATGTTGTATAGTATGATGAGTCATTGAATTAAACTCATGATGTGAGCATAGATTTCTTAGTTATACCATTACAGGTTTTCAGATAAAGTGTTACAATTACATTTCATTTACTTTAATTCGCTACTCTTTTTTTTTTACTGAGCCTTTATATTTTATGATCAAGTTGACCTGTTAAGCTCTGACATTAAGCTAACATTCTCTGTTAACAGCTTCCTAGAACAGAAGAAAATACAATCCAAATATAATATTACGTTTATGTGATGTTAACATACTATTTACGAATGTAGTACGAAAGGATGTTATTAATGTTATCATGATGTTTCATAATTCATTAGAGCTTAAAATCAATTAGGTGTTATATTACTGTAGATCAGTTGGGTTCGAAATTATTCGCTTTATGAAAGTAACATTTTTCTCTTTTCCTACATTGCGAAAATATGCTCGCTACAAATTTAGAAATCTTAAAATGAATTAAGAGTATGTTTTACACAGCTTATAGTTTATTTGAAGTTAAGCACAAAGGCACACAATGGGCTATCTGTGCTTTGCCCACCACGGGTATCGAAACCCGGTTTATAGCGCTGTAAGTCCGCAGACATACCGTCGTGTGCCACTGGGGTGCCACAGCTTATAGAAGCTCATTGAATAACTTGATTCCTCTCACGCTCCTTGAATACTAGACTAATGCACATTTTTGGTATAAAGTAAACCTTTACAATAAGGGTTTGTTATGATAAAATCCTCGAAGAAATACATTAATGTGAGATATTTTGTAACTTTATAATTATTTTATCCAAAAACATTTGGTTATTATAATATTTCCGTTGCTTCAATTCTGATGTAATTAAATATAACAAATAAATGAGAGCGTTTTTGTTTGTTTGTTTGTTGTTAAACGAAAAGCTATACAATGGGCTATCTGTGCTCTGCCCATTGCAGGTATGGAAACCCCATTTATAGCTTGATAAGCTCACTAGATTATCGCTGAGTCACCGGGAGGCAATTAAAGGTGTCTTCTGACACAAATAAGTTGCTCAAACTTTTAGTAATTTTAGATTCTTTGCTCATTAAAGCAAGAGCAGCAGTGATACAGCATGAACTCAGACTTGTCTGTCTATTTATTAGTATTGTGCTATAATGAGTGATTGTAACTTTGTCGAGTTTGCAGGAATCAATAGCCTGAACGAGTTTTTACCAAAATAACGAGGTCACTAGAACGCTACGGTAATGACATATCGAAGAAACTCTTCTGATGATTCTACTCCTAAGCAGTCTCCTCGGTAGGTCAGCAGTAAGTGTGTACGGAGTTACAACGATAAAATTCGCGGTTCGATTCCACATTGTGGACAGAGCGCAGACAGCCCATTGTTTAGCCTGGCGTTAAAAAACGACAACAAATACTACTACACCTAAGCAATGTTCAAAATATTTTACTATACACGAAATCAGTTTTTATACAATATGGCAAGCTTGATTTTGCATTTATTTTACACTCGAGATATGTCGCCTGACTTATAACGGGCAAGAGAGTGACGTATACATTGGTTAATATTTACAGCAAATATTACGCAGGTTGTATAAGTTTTCTGTGACAAGCTTAGTTACACTATCGCTAATAAATACGGTTATAAAACCGTATCTATTGTAAAGTGAACGATACAACACTTAAGAGTCAAATGCACAAGGATTTTTCTTACGAGGCAGTAATTGGTGTTATGGGTTCACCGTGCGTGTTCTATGGACAAGCTGTTTTATGCGTGTGTACACGCACATAGAATGGTTAAACTGTGTTCATTAATGCACTTATGTATTTGGCCGAAGATTATATTACAGTAACTCGGGAATATATTACTTTTGTCGTTACCAAAGTACTCATTTGAAATGGTAATGCTACGGAAGAGCCTTGGGTTTTCACTATAAAATAATAAGAATGTAAGTTATTAATGTGTTTTGTATGATACATGTTATATTTCACTAGAAACGTGGATGTGTATCCATTGTAAATATTTAGTCCATATAGAAAAGTAATGTGACTAACGTGATACTATGTGTTTGTTTTATAGCAAAGTCACAAAGGGGTATCTGCTCTGTCCACCGCGGAGAATCGAACCCCGAATTTCTGCGTTATAAATCTGTAAACTTACGGGACCCGTACTGTGTGTGTCCTTTGTATTTTTCTCAAGTACGTGCTGATATCGATCGCATGATGATATTTATATACTTTTGTATTTTGTGTTATGTAATCTTAAAAGGTCTTCAGAGTCCGTTGTACTTGAAGTTAAGGTTGATGTGTGTTCATCAAGTTAAAACATAGCCTGACTGTCAGATCAAACAAAGTAGTTTAATTCTGTATAAATCTAACCTATATATATATATCTCAACCAGACCTGTTTCTTCTTAGGGTAGAGCTCTAGATTTCGGAGCTGGTAAACAGGATTCGAATGAGCTGTTCGTGCACTAAAACGTGACAGTAAACTAATCCCTTACATGAATGTCGAGTGAAAGGATGATGCTGACGGACTAGCTGTCTTCCCTATGGTCAATATTTCATAACTACCGACGCCATGAATAACCTTGGTAGCTTTTCCATAAATACAAATACAATTTTCTTGCTAAACTATATATATATATATGAACACTAAAGCATTAATTAATTTATTTATTATTACTATAAATCCTTATATAACTAGCATGTAATCGTCTTGTTTCTGATTATATCAATGCTAGAAGACAAAAAAAAGAGATGATTGTACACTTGCAGAAGTTGCTGCTAAATAGACCATTACCGATCGCCCTAAGTTTTTACCGATTAGATTATGTACGTGCTGTTCTTAATGCGTCACAAGGTCAAAAAGCTTGTCTATTTATTCACAGTTTTTCAGTCAATGATTATTTAAAAGTTCCATCAGTTGTTTCACAAGTGAATAAAACTACGATCATACTTAATATTCTATACGAGGTAAGTAACATACATTTTCAGTCCAAGCCAACTTCACGGTTATTTCAGTAAAAGTCGTATGATACATTTAGAAGACGTATTATATTTCAAATTAGACACCTACGTTTCTGGAGTGTATCTCACTTCAATTTGAAAGACGATTTTGGTTTGGCCGGGCGTAGCCTTACAATATGCATGCCCGAACTTTGAATCCAAATATTCGTGGATCGAAAATCGCCTCCGTATTTTGGGGCCTTGAGTGCGCTATAAAAGCGACAGTAAAATTTCCCTATACAGCCATACAAGAGTAACAGTTGGCTGTTGACTATATGCCGTCAATCAGCTTATCAGTTCATAATTAGGAAGGGCTATGCGCAAACAGCCCGTTGTATAGCTTTACTCGAAAAATCTGAAATAAACAACTAAAAACCAAGACTTTGCTGTGGGTGATGTTAACTGACTGTCTTCCTTCTAGTATCTTAGTTAAAAATTAGGGACGGTTATAAGTACATAGCCGTTTGGTGGCTTTTCGCGAAATTCTGAAATCAACAAACAAAGCATTTTTGATTCAGTTAAAAGAGCAACACGTACGTATTGTCAGTGGAAATAAGTTCAATAAAAATAGTCTTGTAATTCATGTTAAAACAGAGATAGAGAACAACTTAAAGGCAGAGTTTAAGATATAGCCTGAATTAAGGATATTTTGGTTATTACAAAAAGGACTCTTACCTCACGGTAGGATTCAACATAGAACTAATTCGTGGTGGCTATGACCATTGAAAACAGAACTAGTTAACGACGAACGGCGCTCTTATGCTCTCTACATCCCACATCAGGTTTCTAGAATCAATAGGAATGACGTCACTGATCAATACCAACATACGTAATAGTGTGCGTGCGCCGACCTGGATGAAATATCAGTCTCTAAGTTATCAACAACAGACGTAGCTCTCAGGCTGTCGTCTAAATGGAAAACGCTTAGTCTGTATTTTGGCTGTGTGAACGATGAAAACAAATTAATTTATTTTTCCTCTTTCACTTCTTCGTTCACTCAGATCATAATACGTTTTCTTTCCATTAAATTAAACTGCATTTTCTTATTAACATACTCTCGCGTTGTTGGGATAAATATTACTAAAATAAAATTAAAAAAAAAAACTAGTTATCAATCAAAGTCTTGAAAATGTTGTGATGTTTAGTGTTTGTTGACTTGTAATAGTTCACAGAATATTACAGCTTAAGTAATTGAGTAAAACACTGAAAATTTTAAAACATAAAGGTCAAACTTGATCACGCTCAAACGGTGCCTCACTTAAATCCTTTAATACTTTGAAGTTTCTTAATCCGTAAAACCAATGAAAAATTAATTAATCAAGCTAAATAATATTAACAATTATTTTTTACTCTGAACTGATAAAAAAATATTTAAATTTAGCAAGTGTCATTAAAGAAACTGTTTAAATAACATGTTTAGTTTTCATATTGTGCAAAGACTATTGATGATTAGGCCTAAGATCCTGACTGTTTGCTATGAAAATATATATGAAACCTTATATATTCTCAACTTCAGTTTTTACAGCCACTCGCATATTAAAGGAAGTCTTGCATCTGATGATTATAAGATGGTTGGATTCTTCAGTTTTTACTAACGAAGATATAAGAGTAATCCTTATCTTGAACAGTTGATAGATGGAAACAAGGTCGAACAAGATAACTGCATTAATTCTGAGCTGGTTAAAAAAATATTGGGAACTTTAAAGAATGATAAATCTCCTGGGATAGATAATATTTCCCCAAGGGTCTTGAAGGAGGTTAAAAATGGATATATGAGCCACTTGCTATTATTTGAACGATGGGCAGATGCTAGAGGATTGGAAGTTGATTAATGTTACTCCTCTTTTCAAGATACGTAATAAAAATTGTCCCATTAGTCTTAGATCAATTGTGGAAAAAGTTTTGGAAAGCCTGATAAAAGATGCTTTGCAAAGTCATTTAACAAAGTTTAGTTTTTTTTCTGATAGTCAACATGGTTTCACAAATTTCACAAATCTTTTGACATTTTTTGAAAAGGTTACTGCTTATGTAGATGAGGGTAAGGGTGTAAATTTGGTGTATCTGGATTTTCAGAAAGCAGTTGACAGGATTTCACATTAAAGGCTTGTAAAAATATCTTTATAGAAGTGGAGGATAAGTTAACTGATTGAATAGAAGAGTGGCTGGATGGAAGAAAGCAGAGGGTTGTTACAAATGGAGTTCAGTCAAACTGGATTAATATTACAATTTTTTGCTCCTTTTGATTTACATCAATGACGTAGATAAAGGGATGGTCAATAAATCTTAATATGATATTAAGGTCTTGGATGTTGCTAGCTGTGAAGAGGATGTTTCTGCTTTGCAAAAAAGATTTAGATCACTTACTGAGTTGGGAAAATTAATGACAGATGAGTTTTAATTATAATAAATTCATAATAATGCATGAGAGTTATAATAACTGGAATTATAAGTATAATATGGATGGAAATAACCTTTACGGTGTCATGAAAGAAAGGGATCTTGGTGTAATGGTTGATCAGTTTCGTAAGCCACCCAAGCAGTGTGCTGTTGCTACTGGTAGAGCAAATAGGATTTTAGGTTGTATCTACAGAAATATTGAATAAAAGTCTAAAGAGGTTATAATTTCATTGTACAGGTAATTGGTTTGGCCACATTTGAACTATTGTGTTCAGTCTTGGGCTCCTTACCTTAGGAATAACATTGGATTTTTTAAAATGGTTCAGAGGAGAGTTATAGAATGGTGCCTGGAATAGAGGAGTTGTCATGTGAGGGGACTGTAAGATCTCTGAAATTGTTTTCTCTTGAAAAAAGAAGAATTACAACGGATCTGATTGAGGTGTTTAAGATTGTAAAAGAATTGATAATGTTGATGCATCATCTTTTTTCATACTTAACGGCGGGAATAGTAGGACTAGGGGACACAAATATAAATGTTGGCAAGGTAAGAGTCATTTTCAGCTAATACAGTTTTCTTCTTTTTTTCTAACAGGGTGGTTGGCCTCTGGAATGGAGTGCCTTAGGATGTTGTGAAGGCAGTAAAGTTAAGTGAGTTTAAGGGGAAGCTTGATAACTATATGAATGATAAGATCTGGCTTTAATATTTTTTAATTACTTTATTTAGTAGTTTAGATTAAAGTATGGAACAGCCGAGATGGATCAATAGATCCATTGTTATTCCTAAACATTATGTTATGTTACATACTAATGTCTTAAAGCATGTTTATTCTTGACACAATGAATTACCTGAATATATAATACTCATTCGCCCAGCCATTCGTCCCATCATTCTCATTCACAGTGATTCTGACCTCATTAACCCCTGGGTGAACCACTCACTCAGTTGAGAAGCAATGCTCTTGATAACTGAAGTTTAATGGAAACCACATACTTCCAGTCACGTTTAAAAACTCTATATAACAGTGAATTACGCGTTCATCCGTGCTTGCAAAAATATCATGAAAAGATATTCCTGTTTGTTGGAAATAATGTTTAATCTACTTGTAAAGGTACACTGGTTGATTACGTTTTGTGTTGGACGAGATACAAAAATAATTTAACTAAACAACTGTAAATGTTAGCTCTTAAAATATACTGCAAACAAATACAGCTGAATTGTGACTCAAACGTTTGTTTATTGTACTTATCTTTGCAACACACGAATACGTGCATTAAAAAGTAGTCCAGTGGTGGAAATATTCACATTTTTGCTACAGTAAAAATGTTTCTATTTTACGGATTTAGTAGGTATGTGGTCGAGAAAATTACTGAATTTTCATGAACAATGAATTACTTCCGTACTTAATTTTATGGACCGCCATAAAACTTCAATTGAAACGTGGTCAAAAATTCACGAAGTTTAATGGCACGTGTCTAAAAATTACTGATATTGATTCAGACACAAGCAGGTGCACAACAGAAGGAAAAGCTGATTCAAACAATTCTTATAAGTTAGCCTTGAAGATTGTCAAGTAAGTGGATCATTAATCATTCCCTTAGTCGCTAGATGGTGCCCACAAAGTATTAGCCATAATTAGTTGATAAAAAATGAAAAATCTCTTTCTTTTAAAAAAAGTTGCTGCATGTGCTTAAACTATGAAATTTGTTAATCATTCTGTATATTATTTTGTGGGGATATTATGTAAATTACTTCATTTTAGGCTCATTTTTTCTTTTCCTATTTTAAGTATACTAAGGTGCTAAATATTTGTATTTGTTTTAAATTTCGCGCATCGCTACTCGAGACCTATCTTCTCTAGCCGTCCCTAATTTAGCAGTGATAGACTAGAGAGATAGCAGCTAGTCAACATTACCCACGCCACCTCTTAGGCTACTCTTTTGTCAACGAATAGTTGGATTGACCATCACATAATAACGCACCCACGGCTGAAAGGACGAGCATCTTTCTTGACGGGGTAAATGTTTGAGTAAGTGAAACATGGTTACACCTACTAGTACAATGTAAACCTAACCATGGTTTGTGTTGTCCTTTGAAAAAGACTAGCCCTTTTTTGCACTTAACCGATAATATCATAATGGTTTATTACCTCCAAACACAACTATTTCTGTTCAGATTGGAAATATGGGCAGGGGCAAGAACGCCATTTGTATGTGTATGGAAGGGGGGAATTACCCTCCCCAGGAAGATTAGAAGTACCTGTCAGTAAACTTCCAGTTTTATACTTTTACTGTGCGCGCTGTACATCTACAGTATAATCTAATGCCACACCACATATTATTGCGTTTTCACTTTAGAAAAAATTGAAGATCTCCAAAAGGAATTTGTCCCCTCCTCAAATTAAATGTCAAATGGCGTTGCTGTGGACAGGCGTTACTTCCCTATGTCAAATGGCGTTGCTGTGGACTTACTTCGCTAGCATTTCATCAAAGTAATCACTTCTTCGTGTAACAAACTAGTAAAAAAAGAAGCCCGCCATGGCCACTGCATGAGCTTATACACTTCAAAGTATTCTATCTATCTGTCTGTATCTATCTATCTATCCATCAGTAAATAGATGTTTATGAAGGTAAATGATAACAAATAATATTACTTGACTGTTATCTGGAAATTATTTTGGCCGCTCTAATATTTTGAGACATTTATTGCGAACGTTTCTGTGCTACAGTATAGGAAAATACGTTTCTAGGGTTACGATTAGAACCGCATCATTAAAGAAGACAACTCAACCATGTTCGTTTGTGTGGAAAGAAAGGGAGCGAGAAAAATTGAATAGCTCTATGTACATTATGGTATTTCCGTTCTAAAGCGACCGAGGAGAAAGTGATAACTTTTTTGAACCGTTCAAAGACCTCCGAAATTAATATATCTGTTGCCATGGTAGCAAACTAAACCTTTGGGAAATATAAGATCGGTTCAAGAAGTAAGGCAATAAATAAATTGTTTAATAACGTATGTGCGGGGCGATATGCAGGTGCCAGTATTTACGACTAATATATTTATGATATAATGTCACAAATATACGGTTGCAGGAGGTAGGGTTTTCTATGGTATTCGAATACATAAATATTATTCAGCCTTTTTTCATTCTTAATCTGCTTAAATTGGCAGCTCAGGCAATATCTACAAATAGAAAGTACTTATTTTTCGTATCATATCAACCGTTTTATTTTCTAGCGTTTATATATGCGTATTTTTTAACATGAACCATACGTGTATTTGCCTCCAATCAAGATTCCAAAAATGTACTATAAAATATTCGAACTACAGTTCATTAAAGATTTAATATACCAGTTTCAATATAAACAAAAATGATAAACTTTTCTTTTTATCGTAAATATTAATACAAAATTATGTAACAATACCAGGAATTG